AAATAAATCACGGCATCACAGAGTTTGGTGGGTGAAGGGAAGTGAATAAAGAATTAGGAAAGATCAAGTAGGGATCTGAAAAGACAGGGTAATAGTGAGCACAGATCAATGGTAATTAATTGTATAAGGCACTTTGTATAGGGACGATTGTAAGAAACACAATGTGAATAGAAAAAATTAAAAAGAGATGTTTAATAGTTACATTTTAATTCATCAAGATGTATTAAAATCCTTTCATTTATTATCTGCAAGAATGTTACTCTGCCCATTCCTTTCTGGATTAAGACATATTGCAGAGTATCTCTTAAAATGCTGAGCCATAGCCAATATCTCCTTCTAGGATCATTGGATCCAATCTCACACCCAGGGTGGTGGTGGTTTTGTTTGGTGTTTTTTTTTTTTCCTTTAAAACGAAACATTTTAAAATTATTTAAGTTTATTAATTCACTGGCTTTTTCCTCCTATGTGGTTACCCAATTTCCCAAAGTGAACTTTCAATTCCAACTAATGAGACCCTATATCTGGGTTTTGTTGCTGCATATGATTCACAACATTTTAAACAGTCTGTAATTGATAGGATCTCTACTACTACTGTGGTTTACATACTACCAGTTGACAACAGAAAGGTCAATAATCTGAACCCACCAGGCACTTTTCAAAAGAAAAATTTGGCAATCTGCTTCTATGTAGATTCTAGCATTGACAGCTCTCACTCTCATTCATTCTCTCTCTCTCTCTCTCTCTCTCTCTCTCTCTCTCTCTCTCTCTGCCAGCAAGGCGGAACATAATTATAACTGACTCTCCTCTGGATTTCAAGGCTGTAAACTGCTTGGGAGGAGATTACCCATCTTTCTCCCTCAGAGTTGCTGGTGAATGTGAACAGCTAGAGAGACCAGGCCTTTCACATAGCAGTGCAGCTCTCTATGGACGACACCACTAGGGCTCCTTGGAAACTCTATGGGGCAGTTCATTTCTGTCATGTCGGGTTGCTCAGAGTTGAAATTGACTCACAAGCAACTGGTTATAAATACTGATGATAAAAGTAGTAGAAACACTTGAAATCATATGCTCAAAAGCAACAGAAAAATTGGATACCTAGAGAGTAGTCTATGATCATTTTAAGAGATAAAAAAAAATTAACTAAAAAATAAACACTCAATTCACTGCCATCAAGTCAATCTGGACGTATACTGACCTACTGGGTTTCTGAGGTTGTAATTCGTAACATGGGTGATTGCACGTTCTTTTCCCCAAGAACCCACTGGTAGATTCAAATCTCTATATTGTATTTGAGTCTTAGAGTGTTTATATGACACTTTCCCTGACTTGGTTCACACAGACTTCTTGTCTCTTCTTTCCCTGATAACTCTCCAATGTGAAAGAAACAAAAGGGAGATGACAACTCCTTTTTTTCTAAATACCTTCATTTTACTTCAAAAACTGACCAGTGAATTTGACTAAGAAAAATAGTGAACATGTTTATATTTACTTAAAAGTTTGTTTCTTTAAAAATATTTTAAAAAGATGACTTGTCTAAAAAATGGAAAGACTGTACATGATGAGAATTTAGATGGAATGATGAACTAAATCAGAAAAGGGAAATAAAATTCCTTTGACAAGTAATTCTTTGGTTTACTTCCCATCGCATCAATGTAAGCAATATCATTTTCATTTTTAAAAATTAATCCTTGGTGCTCTGGTGGCCTGGTGGCAAGAAGCTGCACTGCAGTCCCAGAGGCACACAGTTCAAATCCACCAAGTACTCTGCTGGAGAAGAAGGGCAGTCTCCTCCCTTCCCTGTCAGATCTGATTTGATGGTACACACACACACACAAATAATAATAAAATTAAGAAAACGTTCTGTGGTGAATTGGCTGCAACTGTGCGAATGGTACCAGAATTCAAGTTTCTAACTCATGTAAATACCTTCATTTTATTATAAAAATGAAAACAATTGTGGCTTGAATCTTGTCTCTCTTTGGAAGAGTAAAGTACGTTAATATTCACAAAGCTATTGTATTTTAAATTCCAAATACAATACATAGAAAAACTATCCTTTCATATTATTATGTTTTCAGTTATAGGAAATAGAAGTATCTAAGCTAATATAATTATTAAACTTGGAAATAATTCATTACTTATTTCTGTCACATGATTTTGAACTTTTAACTAGAGAACGGACATAATTTACATGTATTCATACTCTCAAATTGGGATCTCTGGAGATTTAGTGGTAAGAAATTGCACTATCAACCCAACAGTATTTGGTTCAAGGGGCTCAACAGAAGCAAGCTGCTATGTGGGAGAAAGATGACCAATTTTCTTCTGTGGGATTTACTTCCCCTGAAAACCCACTGGAGGGTCAACTCTGAGTCAGTTCCAACTTGATGGTATTCAACAACTTTTAAATTAGTGTATTTATAACAATGTGATAGAGTTTATAAAATTAAAACCACGACATTAATACATCTGCTGGTAACTTCTATTTACCTCTCTATGTGTTAAATCTAAAAATAACCTTAAACATATTTAATTATTAAAATTGAAGTTATCTTCTAGGAAAATAGATTTGTAAATTGTAGTGGGAAATTCATTGATAGCTTTAGATGAACACAGAGAATCACAAAATCATTTTATGTTCAATTGGGACTAGTTATTTAAAAGTTATAAAAAACTACATACACAGTGGCCTATTTATAAAGTTTAGGTAATAGTAAGGAACTTTATTTATATATATTTTCTGTAAATGAGTTCATTCAATTAGTTAATTTAAGTAACTTTATGCTTCACTAAGCATTAATTAAATGTAATTGTGTATGACTGGTAAATTAAAGATAAGGGTAATTTAAAGTTTGGTTTATTTTAAATTTTAGCTTGGCTTTAAATTTTGAAATTAATGAGTCCTGACTTGCATAATTTATATTTGGTAACTATCCTTCTTTAACCTTCATGTTAATCAAATCAAAGAAGGAGTACAAGATAAGCTATTACTTTTTAGTTTAATATAAGTTACTAGCAACATTTATCCTAATAAAATACATGCACTAATATTACTATACTGATAATCGCCATTGATATTTTTCTCTTTGCCCATTTAGCAACAAATATTTCTTGGTCTTCTACTTGACAACTTAAATTTTGTACATATACTAAGAATTTGATAAACAGTTCACAACTGTAACATGTTAGAAAAAAACTGAAGGTATATTTTTAGCCTTATAAGCTTTAAAGGTGATATGCCCATTAGATAAGACAGATAGAAGTTAACAAACCATCATTTGCAAAATCTGTTTCACTTAGCCCAGAAGCATTTTAATATACAAATTAAAAGTGTAAAAGCATTTCCTTAAAAAAATCATGCATTAATACAAACACTGTTCAACCAGATCATTGGCTTTGTAATTAAATATTATGCGCTCATGATGTTTTAATGAGTGAAGCTGTATATGTTTAAATGGCAGTAAATTCAATTTTTGTACATTTTTTTACTTTGCATTTATAAACCATACTTTGTTTAAAAAATTCATATTCTTTAAAAAGGATTAAATTAAAACCAACTCTCTAGGAAATAGTCTGTTCTACTATATAAAACATACTTCGAAACATTGTCTATATTTTTTTATTGCCACACTTTGGAATAGAAGACAAAGGCTTATATTTTAAAGAGCTCAATGAAAAATATTACCCAAGAAAATACTGAAATCACTTACATTTTCCATGATTAATGTCCAGATAAATTTTTTTACTGGTAATTGTTAGGTGCCCTCTTTAACTCACCAAAAAATTCTTTCCCCATAATACTTGGCCAGCTTTTATTAATACATCAGAAAGTTTCCATATAAAAGGGTAGATCTTTTCACTGAGGTGGTTACCTTTAGGATGCAATGTTCAAAGGAGACATAACTGCGTAATAAGAATATTTTTGACAATGAGACTTGAAATGGGTAACTTTTAAATGATTCGTTTCCCTTCTTTCTCCATGTTTTCCCTCTAAGTGGGTTGCTCCCTGTAGATAGAGACAGTGAGGATAACAAAGGGTCATAGAAGAGGTATTTTTAAGCACTCAGGTTTCATGCTGTATGCTTCATGGGTAGAATAAAATGTATCCTCCAGCTGTTCAAGAATGAGGGCGAGTGGGGAGGAGATAGATAAAAGGAGAAGTAAAGCAAGGCAGACTCAGATCTCAGTGAAATGCTGTAAACTTTGTGTACTTCTACTTCTAGTCCTCCTTACCACCAATTTCCAACTCTATCAAAACAATCCTGACATTTTCTCCTCACTTGCAAATCATTGCAGTCCCGTTACAAAAGGCGTCAAAAACCATACAATGGCATGACGTACACACAGAAAAGGAATTCAAGCTGAAACTTTGGTGCTAGGGGATTGGAGTCAAATATTTAAAATGTAAAACTAAATTGATATTATCTGAGGTATGAGTTAAAAATAAAAGTGCAATGAGTAAGAAATAATACAAAAGAAATCCACATTACAAATGAGCTGAAAACATTTATAATTCATAAAACAGCATTAAGATGATTGCTTCTGTCATATTAATTAAAATAATAAAAGTAAGAAAATATGCTCAAATGCAGAGGTACTTTCCTTAACAAACAAAAATCAAAGTTAATAAAATATTTTATCTGCATCAAAATATTCTTTGGAACCCAAAAGTAAAAAAATGTACCATGTCTATTTCTTTCACGTTGATCTGTAGAAATCAGAAAAGAAAAAAAAATGCATAGTCCACACTATTTAACGCTCCAAAACTAAAGAGTTCTATGCAGAGTCCCCTAAGCATGAAACAAACCTCTTACTGAAGTGAAACAATGCTCACCCCATAATAGTACACAGCATTCCAATTAAGTTCCTATTTGAAAATCTTTTCGCTCCAGTCAAACTGAGACAAATAACCTGACTTCAATACAGTGTAGCAGATGCTCTGGTGGAAAAGTTCTTCAGAGCTCTGAAGACACCTGTAGAAACTCCTGAGGAAGAAGAACTTCTCACAAGGACAAACTGAATGTTATCCAAAGCGAAACTTGAGTCTGTATTTCACTGTGTTGGGACTTTTCCTTGGTGCAGAAAGGGGAACCTTTGGCTTGATAGGGTTAGGTGGTTTTTTCTTTTCAGGAACAGTAACTGTGAAAGAAAGTTCTGGCTGCTCCGACTGCTTGAATCTTGGCAAAAAATGAGTAGAAATGTGTTGAGGTTTGACCCGTGGGCTGCAGCCTCGCTTAGCTTTCCCTCTTTTATTCAGAGCCACATACCACTCACGTCCTGTCTTTTCAGTTCTGTGTATCGCTGAGGCATAGGTATTGTAGCTGTTCTCTTGAAATCTCTCCCTGAATTTGCAGTCATCTGTAAATTTGGCCTACAGGGAAGAAAGAGGATACTTAGTAATGGTAAAATTTTCGATCTGTAATAATGTCTGGAACTAAAAGGAAACCCAACATTTCCAACGGCCTCTGACCCTCCTACTCTATCTATCCTGTTCATTTAAAAAAAAAAATACACTGGCATCTTTTAAAGTTGCTTTCAAGTTACTATTTTCCTTTTTTATTCCTACTTTATTCATGCTTGTAACATTTCTTTCTGTTTACTGTGTAATTGGTTGTTATTAGTCGCTGTCTAGTCAGCTCTGACTCATGGTGATTTTATGGATAACAGAATGCAACATTGCCAGGTCCTGTGCCAGGCATCCTCACAGTTCCTGTGCCGTTCTCACAATTATCAATAATACATTTTTAATAATATTTTTTTCGTTGGTGCATATTTTCTCCCCCTTCCTCCTGTCCATCCTCACCCTGCAGCACAATCTTGTTCCAGATTGTTGTCTTACATATCATGCCTAATCATACATTCCTTTCAGACAGTTTTTCCTCTCCTCTGTTTTAATGCAGTGCACATTATCTATCCACTCTTTTCCCAGTCTCTCTTCAACTCCTCCATATCTGTCCTATTCCATAGCAGTGGTTTAAGCAGTAGGTTAAGCAGTGTTTGTCCTTTTGTGACTGAGATCTTACACTCAGCATATCATTTTAATCCATGGTCAAAGTTATTTTGGCAGTCTCTCTCCTTGAAAATTTCCCTTTTCCACTAACCTCTTCTTTGCTAAACATAATTTCCTAGGGATTAATCTTTATTTTTTAAAAAAAAATCACTATTAAGCAAGAAATTTCAATGTGTCCCAAACTGTACAATTTCATGAACTAATTAGCCTTCCTAGGATGGAAGATATTCTAATGTTTTCTACTCTATGCCATTTCATTTTTTCTTATTTTTTTTATTTTTAACATCAAAAACATTTTTTTTTTTTTTCATTATTTCACATTTTCTTCCCCTATCCCATCTCCGCTAGCCCTCCCCACAATACAAGCCTTCTTCCATATTGGGTTTTTTCCCACTTTTCATTAGTTTATTTACAAAATTCTAATACAAATTCCAACAAATTCTTTCAATTTCCCTCAACCACCCCCATCAAATTGTACAATCCAATGATTAATCTCCCTCTCCCCTTGCATATACACATCCCTCTGCTTCCAGCCTCTCCCACCCCTCCTGGATCCTTATACTTCTTCTACAATAATGGTCTTATACAATATTTATCCTTGTGGGACTGAGTTAGTTCACTCAGCATAATGGATTAGTCTCTCTTCATGACTAGGTCCAAGGTAAGCAATACAAAACTTCCTTGCCCTCCTGTATATGAACGTTTTGGCTCAGTTTTTTCATCTTCATCTCATCTCATGCCATGAAGTCAGAACTGACTCCTAACTCACCCTCCTTCGGATTTCTGAGGCTGTAAATGGACAGGAGGAACTTCCCACCTTTCTCCCCCAAAGCCACTGGCAGATCCCATCCACCAGAGAGATGTGGCCTTTGGGTTGGCCATGCAGCTCCTATAGACTACACCAGTGCTACATTCTATGAATCATTTATGTATTATTATTATTATTATTATTATTATTATTTTAGGTTGTTTCATTTAATGACCCAACAATAATGGGTGAAAAATTGCCATAAGAATTATTAATGTACTTAAATGCCATGATTGTTTCAATTTTTTTGTTTTAAAATTCTTTTAAGATACAAAGTTTTTAAAAAATATTTTGGCATTATATATATATATTTCCCTCCTAAGACCCCTCAAAAATAAATACAAACCTATTACTAAGAAATGATCATTGAGTAAAACATGAGCTTGTGTTAATTGGGCTATAGTACCCCTTTGAAACTAGCACATATTTTTCACTGTTATCAATATGATTCATGCTGCTGAGGGAGGTATAGCATATGGCTTTATTAATATTGCACGTGATAGAGTTAATTAAGAAAATGTACGTGTGTGAGTGTGTGTGTGTGTGTGTATTCTCTAGAAACATTTGACATTAGAGTCACTAGATACATTTCAACCAGATTTTGCATGTATGCACCATAACACAGAATATCTGCCCTTAGAATGTTCACTGAATATAGAAAAAGCACACCAGAAAACACCCATCATGATGAAGCTTGAAATTGAAACTATGGCAATGATATACAAAGATTATAACAATAGCATAAACAAAGAACATCTAATACAGTAGGCTGGCAAGGAAAGAGGCGAAGGAAGTCTTCCTGGAGAGGGTGACATTTGAGCTGAATCTTCAAGAATGACTGAACATTAATCAGACAAGTGACAGGAAAAAAAATTCCCAGAGAGCACGGATAAAGTCTTCAAAGGTCAGCATACATCTCAAAATAACTTTGAATAGTTCTGTGTGGCCTCCATGATGGATGTATGTGAGAAGGAACAAGAGAAGAAACTCATAGGTAGACCTGTACCAGTTCTGAAACGATTCAGCTCATCATGTAGAGGAATTGTAAAGATTAAGTGTTAATGCATGTACATGAACATGAAGTCAGACAGACACTACAAAATACTGCTTTTGTAATTGCAATTGAGATCTCATTCACAACCCTTACGCCTATAAGATTATTGTGAATATCAAATACAATATTTCCTAGGGGTGAGATTAGTAAATTCCATCCAATTAAAAAGACAATATAACCTCCAAAGAATAGAAATCTCGGTCCTAGACCAAACTGTTAGGCATCATAATTCTGAGAAGTACCGATCACATAAGGTTGAGAATATCAATAATTTTGTTCACCATATATAAAAATCTGAAAGTTACATACTTTCTAGACCAGACTAAGAGACACTTTATTGTAATATGACATCCCTTTTCCCCTTGCTTTTTCAAACATCACCATATTTTCCTTTGTCATATAGATCACAACACTTCAATTTGAAACTCTAGACTCTTCAACACAATACACACACACACACACACACACACACACACACACACACACACACACAGATACATTTGCAGACAATCTTAGAAAAGTACCAAAGACAGCCCAATCAGAGAACATTAAAGATGGTGCATTCTAATTGTGTATAATAGTTTATCCAAATTCTCTACATTTGGGTGCAAAAGTCCTTTACTGGGGAGCTATGAATCTATGAATTTCTATTTTCTAAAAATCAACTGTTGAGTCTCTACATTTGAGCTCTAAGAGCTTAACATCAGACAATTTAAGAACTACCACCTGTGGAACTCCTTCCAGCCACTTCTAGAACCTACCAGCCTATTGTCTAGGCCAAGTGTGTTATGTTGGTATCACTTTGTTGTCACTGTTGTTGTTGTGCCATCGAGTTGCTTGCAATTCATAGTAATCCTATGTATAAGAACACTGAACCCTGCTCTATCCTGAGCCAACCTTATTGTCTCTGACACACCTACCCCCATTATCCCAGTCACCAAGTCAGTCCATCTTTGATCACATATTAATTATTCCACTATTTTATTAAAAACATGTTCTTTCATGTTAAATGCAGATTTTTTTTCCCTCCGAAGAAGTGTTTAACTCTTAAAGTATTTAAGTGTTCTCCTATTTAATTAGATAGTACTGAAGTATTTTTTTCTGCTACATAAATAGGTAAGTATTTTAGAGATATATGAAGGATTCCATTAAACAGTAGAGGGTATATATATTCAGAGTCATATTTTTCTTTTTAAAACAAAGCTGAATATTTTCATAAGTATGTGCATTCTATTTTGACCTGATTTCTTTCTGTTCTCCTTTCCTTCCCGAGATTCATATTCTAATCTTCCTTCTTAAGTAAAGCTATTCAGAGGATGGCTTTTTAGGCTCTAGATCTTCAAGAACCACCAAACTGTTAGACAAAGTAGAGCTATTTAGAGTTCTAAGGACATACATTCTATGTGCTACCTCTCAGCCATTCCAACCTTGCATGAAAACAAAGAGTAAAGGCAAGCAGATGTTTGAGCTTTGTTAACTGACTTGCAATTCAATGTTTTGTCTGAAGATTCATCTAACTTTGATGGAACAGAACTAGTTGAAATGAATATTTTAGTCGATTATATTTTTCCAATCAGGAGCTCTGATTTCTTCTTGAAGGATCGATCGACTGAATATTCCTGTCAGTATTCTTGATTTTGCCAAAACAAGATGGTGACCCTAAGCAGCATTCTTTTGTCCCTAACATCATTTTGACAGCTCAAGCTCTCAAAAAAATCTATCCCTTGGAGGCTCATTTGCAGAGTCATGAAATAGTACAGGTAGTGATAGTTACATGTAATAAAGTACATACAGAAAGGCAATTTTAAAAAAGATTTTCACTTTATTTTTAAATCTTCTTTGAATTATAAAATGTTCTTATAAATCTTGAAGTAATATAAAATGTAAACATTTTAAATTTGTTATTTTTTATGTCATCAAGGCAATTCCAATTCACAGCAAAGCTATATACAACTTTGTCTAACACTATACCATCCTCACAATCTCAGCTGATGGAGTCATTGCAGTCAAGCCATCTTATTAAGGGTTTACATCTCCTTTCTGACCCTCCCTCCACCTTTCCAAGCATAATATCCTTTCCCAAGGGCTGGCTCTGCCTGACAACATGCCCAAAGTATGTTAAACCAACTGTCATTATCTTTATTTCTAAAGTGAGAAGCACTCCGGCTGCATTCTCTCCAAAGATTTGTCTGTTCTTTTGGAAGTACACCGTGGAACTACATTATTTATCGAGCAAAAGCGAAATTAACATAAACATATTTCTACAGTGTGAAATGTGGAGAGGTGAGTAAACTGTAAATAACTAATGAATCCAGGGTCTTCGTAATCCACAAAACCACACACAAAAAAGTAATCATAAAATGTTTGTAAATAATTCCTTTCTTTGTTTCAAATTCATACTTTCATTAACTTAGCAAATGGGTGCTTACTGGCGGCTTGCCCTTGCCAGGAACTATATTTTTTGCCACTTTTACAATTAAAAGCACTACAGACCTTTAG